TAGACTCCATAAAAAAGATTGCATATTTAAAATGGACTAACTTCAATATATTTGTTTGCACTCCTTCCCGTGTCTTTCCAATATGCCATCGACAATAATACAATTTCGCGCGTGAGTTTGGGAACACAGAATGAAATCCATTGTAAAAAGAAGGCGCCTCATCAGTCACTATCGCGCCGGGTTGAAATCCGGATAGACCTTTTTTACTTGAGGAATAGCTTCGCCACATCTGATGAAGTCATCGTGCCCGCTCAGTAAGAATGCTGAAATAATGTTAAGTGAATGTTGAATTTCTTGAAAACCATTGCAATTATCTACCTGCTGGGAGACCAACGTCTCGTTCATTCAATACCATGAGAGTTGCCAATTTGAGGTTATAACGAGTTGCATTATGGATATCATCGATCGAAACTCCGCGGTTTGAAAAATCCCTCAGCCATTTGACTTGTTCAGGAGTGATTATTACTGAAACAAAAGGTTCCGCTTGAGGCACTTTGATCCTTTGAGCAAATCTTACACATGCAGAAGTCTTTCCCGTCGGGCTCTCAGGCATCTCAAAGGAACCGGATTCCATCGTTGGGTTGTTTTCTTCCTCTCGTATTTTCAATGATTGCATGTCGTCCTTATGGCGATAACCCGGTCGCAAGTCCATATTTATTTACGATACTCCAAAGATCGCTTTTGTTTACAAACCCCATCTTGACGTCGGGTAATCCTTCCTGAGTCGTTTTATAATGTAGTCGTGGGAAAACTCTAAACAGTTTGCATAAAGCTTATGGTGAGCTAAGACTGTGATAATACGTACCTCCAGCAATCCTTTTAGAAAACTTTGTTGAGATGGCGTTAAGCGTAAGAAGCAACATCGACTTTGTGACCAATATGGCCAAAACAACCTTTTACATTCACGCGTCCATCGTCTTCCAGTTTTACGTCCACAAAACATGAGCAATGTAGCACATCCCTTTTCGAGTGTGTGGCTTGAGTTTCGGTACTTTTTGTGTATTTCCCAGCTCTATTGCATCTAAGTTGGAGTAGTATAGTGAGGTACTGCGCAAGGTAAAAAGTGTATTGATACCTCAATCTGATAGTGCCTTGGATTTCACACTGCTTCGCGTATAAAATGTTGTTCGTCTCTCTTGTTGTCGCTCTTCGAGCCCCATCTACAGTATTTCTCGTTCTTTCTTGTTTAAATTTATTTCGAATTCTGTTGAAACTTATGGTCCCATAATCCCTCGACGATCTTTGTTCACATTCAATTCATTTCCAGTCAGACAACAGTCACTGCGAAATATGTTGATATGTTCAGGAATACATCAGGAACTATAGCCAGGAGTTGCTGAAGATCACACGAGCAAAAAGGTAACTAACTAGGTATCAAAATAGATCAACGATCATACTTCACGAGCATCAAAAGTAGTATTGAAGGAGCGCAGCAGACAAGACCAGTGCTGCGTTTGACTGGCAAAGGGGTGCACATCACTGATCATGATAGTTGTGATACTCTTGACCTATTGATTTTCAGGAGGGATAAAACTTGAATAAAGAAAGGTTCGAACTTCGACCAATAAGTATGGGGCAACTCAAAACTACTGAAGAAGTACTCTTCAAAAACTTACGTCAAATTCTTGTTTATTGTCGAAAAAAAAGCGGAAAAATAGAATAATCTTCTTTCTGGTTCCCCACCCGCGCCTTCTTCAGCGTGTTCGTTCTCACAGTGAATAGCTAGGCGCTCCTGGTTTGCTAGCGACTTCACATAGAGGCAACGCTTTCGATCTCCTTTTCCTACGATAGATAGGATAGGCGCGCAACCTCCGCGTTGACTTCAGCCCTAATTTCTTCGCTTCTTCGTGTCACTTACAAAGTGATTCCTCGCAGGTGGATGTACAGATTTCTTCGTAACAGCATTTGGCAGTTTGGACATGACCATCGTCTTTTTGACATCACTTCGGCATCACTTGGTGCGACTTGGTGAAAATGGTGCTAAGAAATTACTGTCATTTGTTTGGGCTAACAGCTGTACCTCCTTCGCGATCGTAAGTCCAAGGTTTCTGATGAGGCGACACACTGCTCTAAGGAGTGAAAACGAAGAGACTTTTTGTATATATTCAAACAATTTTGACTGAGAGTTGTATCGTCATAACCACCTTTCCTATTTTCCGGAGCTCAGCCCCAGGTCAATGGAAGGACGGTGCGAGACTTTGCAAATTGAGCGATTCGCTAGCAAATCGCGATACTAGCGAATCGGCCGATTCGCAGTCTGACACCGCCTAAGGACTGAACTCATGCTATCATTTCGATACTGCCTATACACCCGCTCCTTGTTCAGATCCTGTGATCGCAATCTCTGATTCACAAATGGAAAGAGTGCAATAGTTCACGTCCTTTTCTTTTCGCTCTGTCTACGGGGTACGCCAGAATTGTGATTTTTTTCAAATGACAGACAAAGTTGTTCATCTATTGGAGCCTTACGCTATAATTTTACCCAGACTAATAACGAAGAAACCGCAAAAACACCTGAGAAGCCGTAGCTGAGCTCTCGGGCCTCTTCTTTCGCGCAACAGGCTCGGCGTCACGCTGCTCGAACTTCCGTGCTGCGTGGTTCTCAGCTTTTCCCGACTTTTTCTTGTCTTTTGGCTGAAATGAGGTTAAAATCAACAAGTGTTAAAGAAAAGGATTTTCATAACCTAGAAAAACTGCAAAAATCTTGGAAGAGAATGGCTATACGACGGAACAACCAAGAACATGGCGTCCATTCTTTGCTACAGGAGGAACACCGCTAGTATTACCGTATGTCAATGAAAGGGTAGCAAAGAAGGTGAACCATGTCATTAGGTCGTCAGGCCTTCCAGTCCAACTGATATTTCGACCGCCTACGAACCTGAAAAGCTTGCTGACATTCATACGGAAATCGAAAATTCACGCGAATAACGCGAATCCTCGTTAATTTCGTGAATTCGTTATAAGTCGGGTCAGAGTGAAGTATTCCAGAAACGGAAAACACCGTTGAACTCAGCTCTTCAAGCGCTACAAGATGGTGCTAAAATATTTTCAGAAAGCTTGATTTCGGGATGCGCCATGCACACGGGTTCTATCTCAAGAGCTAGGAGAACGTATACGCTGCGCGCTCAGTACTAATTATGGAGGCTAATTATTCGCATGGAGAAAACGTTCCACACCTGGTCTGGAGTGCGCCACACATCCGACCCCATCAAATGGATTGTGAAGTTAACTTGAAGTGTATG